CGTCCAGGGCTTGGTTTGTACCCATGTGCCAGGGGACATTGGAGCCGCTGGCAATACTACGACATGCAGCGCGGCGAGCAGCTGCTTCACAACAACAGTGCTTTTCCGGCTCATGTTCCCGAATTCCACGGGGCGGACTTCACAGGTTTCACAGCGGAGAGTCCGATGATACAGCCGATGATGTACGGTTGCTGGATGCCCCAGGCAGCTCCTCCGTCTCCTTTCCCCAGCCCTGAGATCAAGACGATCATGGAGAACATGGCCTTTCTGCAAGGTTTGTGGCCAGAACAAGCCAGCAAGATCTTGAAAGAGACTGCTGCCCGGCAAGGTCCCTATCAGGACTGAGCAGGGCAAGACCCATCGTATCCCTTAGTGGTTTTTTTGTGCAGGAATTCGAGCAGCAACACAAGTTCACAACGGACGGATTGACGTGACCTCCGGCCCGACCGGGCCTCGAACATTGCTTTGAAGAAGTGTGTACATCTGCGTACAAGTCAGAGGGGCGTTGGGCGTGTTCTTTGCATAGGCCGGCACCGGTCGAGCACTGCCTGGACATGTCTGTGTTAACTGTGATGCATGTTTGTTTGGCTGTTGTTGCTCAGAGGAAGCATAGTGGCATAGTGCTGTGACGCTGACGCCGATGGAAATGTTCCGATTTGCTAAATTAATTGTTTACGTTTAAAATAGGAATAAAATAGGAATCACTATGTTTGCAAAAATAGGAACCGGTTGTAAAGAATTAGTAAAAAAACTAGTAAATAATTAGTAAAAAAATAGGCTCCAAAAATATGTAAAAATAGGAAAAATGGGAACATAGTAGAAAATAGGTTTCCTATTGTTTTCCTACTTTTTCCTACTTTACTTTATTTTCCTAGCAAAACAGGAAAAAATAGGAAAAAAATAATTGAAAAATACGAGAAAAACAAAACGAAAAATACAAAAAAATAGGAAAATAATAGGAAACTCCTATTTTCCATTATTTTCCTATTATTTTCTTATTTTTCCTCATTTTTCCTATTTTTGTAAGAAAAATAGGAAAAAATAGGAAATCCTGCTTTGGCAGCAGAATGCAGGAAAATAGGAAAAAATAGGTTCCTATTTTTTGCCTATGTTTGTTTCCTATTTTTTTCTATTTATTTGCTATTTTTTGGATACCAATTCCTATTTTTCCGCCACTCGGATCATATTTATGTTTTGCATCCCTATTTTGGATTCCTAGTTTTCCTCTTTTGGGCGTATTTAATGTATTTTGAATTCTGCCAACCATTCCATCTCATCAGCGTCACAAGCATAGTGCATTCGACCATGGCGCACCGCCCCGGCAACGATAATTATGCTCACTACGGCGCCCGGCGCCGCCGCGGAGGGCATGATCAAAACTATGGGCAATGGAGACAACCCGGCAGGCCTTCGCGAAACGCACGTAGAATTCTGAAGATGTACTGACTGGCACTTCACTGGCCCTGCTAAGTTGCCCCGTCCAGGGCTTGGTTTGTAACCACGTGCCAGGGGACATTGGAGCCGCTGGCAATACTACGGCAGCGGCGCGGCGAGCAGCTGCTTCACAACTACAGTGTTGTGAAGCAGCTGCTCGCCGCGCTGCATATCGTAGTATTGCGAGCGGCTCCAGTGTCCCCCACCGGGTTTCGAATTCCACGGGGCGGGCTTCACAGATTTCACAGCGGAGAGTCCGATGATGCAGTCGATGATGTACGGTTGCTGGATGCCATGGGGCTCTGCAGTTTCAATCGGACGGATTCAACAAGCTTTTGGCCCAATCGGGCTGTGCACGACGTGCCGTTGACAGGAGCTGTGTACACTTGTGCGCAAGTCAGACAGGGCCGTCTTGGCGTGTTCTTCGCATAGGCTCGACTCTGTGTCTGTCTGTACTGCTGGCGCCATGCCAGCAGCTATTGTTAATCAGTTTCATACCCCGGATGACAGGCCGTCTGCCGTGACTTCGATGAAGTTCCTTGCAAGCCATTGTGGGTCAAGTGGGGACTTTCCGAAGGAAGCAACCAAATCCTTGCAAAGTAGCTTCGGGAGCTTCTGCTGGCACACCTGCAGCACAGGCCGGCAGCTTATTGGCTAAGACCGCAGTAGCAGGTGATGAGCCGTCACACAAGTAGTAGGCAACTATAGGAATAAGCACATTATGTTACATCATGTCCCTTTTGCACAGTATCTTCCGAAAGAATTCTTCTTCCCAGGTCCAGTGGCCTGCATGCTGGGGCCGCAGTCGACGGCTCCTCAGGGGAAGTTCTAAACCCTAAACACCCGAAGCCCTCAGCCCTATAAACCTTAGCCGCCTTAACCCTAAACCCTAAACCCCAGAGCCGGACTAGTTTGTATGGGTTTAGAGTTTTAGGGTTTTAGGGGCTAGCATTTTAGGGCTGAGGGTTTCGAGGTTTAGGGTTCGAGGCTTAGGTTTGGGGTTTCATGTTGGGTTTTAAAGCGATTCCGGGGGGCCGTCGGGGTACCTTCCAGGTGTCGACGGTACTGTTTGTCATGGTGCCTTAGCACTAGTAACACTTATGTGATTATGTGCCTGTTTCACATAATTAGGGTCTCCTAACGAAATACACGCTACATGATAGGAGACATGGTACCCTGATTCAGGGGTCGCAGGAGTACCTAGTGGAGAACGTAAGACTACATGTTCCGCTTGATACGTTAACCGGCCTAAAGATCCGAAACCTAGCCTAAATCCTGAGCCCGGCCTCTAGTCTCCATTGTAGTTCCTTTTTTTGTTTAACCAATTATCCCAAAAAGGAACCACAATGGAGACTATAGGTAAACCGTAATTCATTGAAACTAAGCACTTCCCAACCCAGCAAATTCCTACCTTGTGAAGGACGTGCCCAAGCAAATCAGATTGCTGGATCCCTGAAAAGATGAGCTTTCGGTGGTTGAAGGAAACACTAGGTGAAGCCTCAGCCCTATGGTGAACGTGCCCACATGCCCGTCACGCGCCGGGCTCAAGAGAGCACCAGAAGCAGCCACTGGCCAGCTGAGGCCTGACTGGGGGGTTTTGGATTCGGGGTCGAGGTTTGGGGGTTTAGGGTGTTTAGGTTCATGAGCTTTCATTAGGGCCCTAGCACAGGCAGTAGCAGGCTGGATGCACAAGGGTTCAAGGTTTTCGTTCGTATTTCGATTTCCATTGGAAGTCCTGAACGCAGCTGAAGATCATTAGGACGCACCTGAAGACAGCAAAGAACCCTGAAAAGTCTTAATGTTCGCTGCTCATGCTGGCAGCGACCATAGAGACTGTACTGCACCTGACTTCGATGCTTGTTGCGTATTCCCCCAAAATCCTAAACCCTAAAGCTGGCCCTAAACCCTTTCATCACGTTGAAGGTGCTGCGTTTGCTACGTTCTACCGGCCTTCCTTGGCTCGGTGGCCTTGCGCCACTCCAAGTTCCATCTCCGTCCGCCTGGTGACTTGGAGGTAAAAAACTGTTGTAGTGGAGCGACTGGGGGGGCATGTGAAGCATTTTGTCGTGAGCCTCTTGGAAGAAAACATGCGAGTATGTCACGTGATCGGAAAAGCCAGCACAGACGCTGCAGAATTTGCTGCCAAGACTGGCATCGAAGGTAAGCTTGGACAAGTTGCTCTATGAGCAGAAGACGATAAGGATGACGGCTTTATGGCTGGAGAGTTCAAAACACATTCATGCAAGATGTTGCTTGCAAGGAGACCTGACGCGGAGAATGGTGTCTGCGCAGGAAAGCGTGGCTGCCGCAACCCGTTCTCTTCAAAAGCTTGCCGTCTTTCTGTCAGCAGCTGAGTCGGCTTACGTATATCCAAAGGGTATCGTGCTCACGCAAGCCGAGGCTTCTCTTGGTCGCTCTGGTGTGTCGGCGGCTTTGTGTATTGAACAAGCGCACCAACTTGGATGCCGCCGAAGGTTGCCTGTAGATCTTCTTGAGGTGGGCACATCCTTCTCTTTCACCTGCGATCGGTGATGGTCCCTTTCGCCTCCCAGCCGCAAGGTCAACCAATGGAAAGGTAAACTGGGGCAGAAGTGTCATGAACCTGCTCAGCTTGGGCCCTAAACCCATCTGCTGTGTATCTTCAGGTTCTGAGCACGCTCGTAATTATCGCGGTTGAGCCGACAGCCCCTTGTCAGCAACTGAGGGTAACGACATACGAGGCATGTAGAAGTAAGAACCGATACATGTGTCATGCCCTGCCATCATGGGTGTGTATGTTTGTGTGTGTGTGTGCAACATGTTTGTTTACATGAGTAATATATATTTGTATATGTACATATATACATACATACATACATACATACATACATACATACATACATACTCACATACGCGTGCAGAGACATCGGATCTCTTGCTCTCAGTTCTTAAGCTATGAAAGATTTGAAGCTTTACCCGTGGTCAACTAAACTAATGAAGTACCTCGAAGGACCCTAAACCCCCGAAAGTAAGTAGAATTATGGCCCAACACCTATAAAAAGCCATTATTCTACATATTTTTTGGGGTCCAGGTAGTTTGTAAACGATGCCGAGGTGGATGCCCTGTATGAGCGCTTTGCCGGGCTGACTACCCCCTACAGGCGCAACGTTTAAGCTTGTCGTGCCGGACTTTCAGTCCGGGTTTAGAGGTTTAGGAGGTTTCGGTCGGGTCTGGCATTGTGGCCTCTGTTCATTGAGAGGTCGGGTCGTGCTCGAAGCTGCTTGTGGCAAATAGCCTAACAGCGTAAGCAAAGCGGCAGTCTTGACTTGCGCGTCCATAGTTTGCAGGTGGTTTTGCTGCTGTTGCCACCGAAGGCGCAAGCAGGGCTACAGAGACGAGGCGGGGTTGAAACTGGAGACTCAGCAGGGGACGCACGCTACTACGGTCTAGGGTCGGTAAAGCATACGACTTGGTGCAGTTTACAGTCGGGTTTAGGGTGATTTGGGATCGGTCGGGTGGGCTCATGCCTAAACCCTAAGCCCTAAACCCTAAACCTGTGTGCTTTCAGGAGGCGGACGACGACCCCGACCGGCGCGTGCTAGAACCTCTCAGGGGCGGTGGCGACTCTCTGCGACAAATGGCGGGAGGGCCCTGGTGAAACAAATCGCAGGCTTTAGGGACTTTAGGATTTAGGGTTTAGGGTTTAGCTTTAGGGCTGTACATAGCGCGACGACTTTTCTGTCTGAGTGTCCCACATGTCCTAGCCTAGCATGCTTCCTGGGTTTGTCAGTGTGTAGTTATGTGAATCTGGACTCTCTGTGACAGAAGTTTTCATAACGCTTCGAAAGTTCCTCGCAGAGCTTCATGCAACTCAGCAGTCTAGGTTTCCCAATGCCCTACACCCGAAACCCTATAGTCCCCTAAACCCCCTTGCCTTTTCAACTTGTAAGCTCGTCCCATACGTTTCTTCAGTCCTACAGTCCCCTAAACCGTATCGAGGATGATGACCCCATCTGTGAGGGCGCAGCTCGCTGCGCCTCTGTGAGCATTGCGATGCTAGGCTGGCAAGTGGGTGGTTGTCAAAATTATGGTCCCTTTTTGGGTCCTTATTATAATACGGCACTTATGATTTAGGGTACCCCAAAAGGGACCATAATTTTGACAACTACCCAAGTGGATCCTGTGGATTCTCAAGCCCACTGCTTTATGATTACCGGGTCATAATAACTTTTGCTTTAGGGGGATAATGCCTATAATCAGGGCGTGATAGCAATACTTGCATAGAGGGTACATACAATACCTATACTTGCTGGGGTCATACGAGTATGTGTTTTTCAAGGTTAGAACCCATTCATATGGGGTCATCTCCTACATTTTCTGGGCTATGGGCGACAGGAAGCCCCTTTTCTCCCGGTCGCCACATCGAGAGACTCTAACACACCTTGCTCAAGGGTCCGCTGCTCAGAGCGGGTTTAGGGTTTAGGTTTCAGGGTTTAGGGTTTAGGGTGGTCACGGAAGTTTCCTTCAAGAATCATCGTGGCAATTTGCCTGCGCTGGCCTAAGGATTTGCCTGATTCTCTTCGTCCGCCCCTGAGTACCTTTCTTCAGCTGAACACAGCTGAGTTGTAAGATGCTTGAACCCCACAGTCTCTCCCTTGCCGAAGTGATGCCCCCAAGTTCTATAATATGGCAATATGCCCCAGAACCCTATTCTAAATATCAATGCCTCTTTACTAAGCCCTCGAAAAAGCTATAAAAACTCTCATGGAACCTTTCCTAGAAACCCTAGAAAAAGGATCCGAGAACCTGTTGTCCTAGAAACCCTAGAAAAAAAATCCGAGAACTCTCATGGAACCTGTTGTCCTAGAAACCCTAGAAAGAGGATCCGAGAACTCTCATGGAGCCTTTCCTAGAAACCCTAGAAAAAGGATCCGAGAACTCTCATGGAACTTTTTCCAGAAACCCCAGAAAAAGGGATCCGAGAAGCCGGAAACCCTAAACCCTAAACCAATTCTATCAGGTCGTCACGCTCCTTGCCGGCTCGCTCCTCGCCGGGGCGCTGCACCTCCGGGAAAGCCTCGGCCTCAGGGGGATTTAATATCGTACTATAGAGGCCTTCATAAGGACCTATACTGGTTTAGGGTTTAGGGTAGGTGTAGGGTTTGGGGTTTAGGGTTTAGGGTTTAGGGCCTACTATAGGGGTGTTTCCGAAAATAGGGGACCCTAATATGTACCCTAAATAGTAGGATCCTTATTATAAGGACCCCAAAATAGGGTAGCCTAATTCTCGGAAACCCCTACGGAGGCCTTCATAAGGACCTATATTTTTTGGGGGGGGCTTCCTGATTATAATTGTGGTATGATATATACCCCAAAACCCGATTCTAATTATGTGGGCTCCCTCTAGTAGCCTGAATACTTACCTAGATTGTTCCTTAGCGGCTCCTTCTTGTAACTATGCCATACTGTAACATACCCCCACAAACCCTATTCTGGATATTAAGACCCCCTTATTAGGGCTCAACGGATCTCAAGGGTTTAGGGTTGTGGGTCTTGGGGCTTTGGACGTTGGCTCCGCCACCGTTGTGGCGATCGGTAGTTCTTCTTGAGGCTATAGCCGTATCTTGCCACTTTGATGATCACGGTTATTACTGGCAAGTACTCGTTTTAGTGGCATTGTTACGACTCATACCAATCTGGCGCTGATTGCTGTCTTCTGTGATCTTTCGTGACTTTGGTGTTGCCATGCTCGTACCAATGTTTGTCATTATTCCTAGTATCCTAGAACTTAGGGTCTAGGGTCCTAAATCCTAACTAAACCCTGTAGACCCCAGACCCTAAACCCTAAACCTAGAATCTGAGAGCGGGGGTGCTGCGATTGGCAAAGTCGTAGCTTCGGAGCAGTTCACCGGCCCCCAGAAACGGCACTCTAGGGGATTTAATAAAAACTTAGACTATTTTGGGGAGTTCCTTATGATAATTATAGTATAATGGGCCCCCAAAACCCGATTCTAATTATCAAGGCCCCTACATTAGAGGTCAAAGTACGTAGTGGGTAAAGCTATTCCACAGACTTCCGTATTCTAACTCTTACTGCAATATAGATACCAACTCCCCGGTCTGGTTGTTAAGACCCCTACAACTGATGCTCGTTGCAGTCTGAAGCCCCAGTCAGACTTGTCCGGCCTCAGCTTTGGGCCATTAAACAGCCTATGAAGAAGAGCCCTAAACCCTAAACCCTGAACCCTAAATCCTGAACCCTACACCCTAAACCGTGTGTGGGGAGCTTTCTTGGTAGCCGGAAGTGCCCGGAAAGGCTGGCAAAGCTATTCCTCTGGGGCCACCAATCTGGTGGAGTGGCTGCAAGCCACTACAAGGCCGGGCAAAACCTGAGGGTTCGGGTTTAGCGCCTAGGGTTCAGAGGGGAAGCTTTTCATCTGGATCACCAGTGCGGATCATGATGGCCATTGCTGTAATGACTACGGCCAGTATTTTCTGGTGTTGCCAATCCTGTACGTTGGTTTTCGTCAATCTTATCAGTACTGCGATTCTTGACACTGCCATGATCAGCAATGATGATGCCGTGCTACGGTTCGCAAGGCCGATATCCAGCCCCTCAAGCAAGAAGAGACAAGACTCGATCGCAGTTCGATTTTTCCTCGGACATAGTTACCCCAGACGCTGGAAGAAACGACACCAGGTCGTAGATCGAAACCCTGGATGTGGGAGCGAAAACCGAAATCGCAAATGGGATTCCAGGAACCTTTCCACCCGGCTGCGCTTGAGCGACGATGCAGATGTGCGGCTGAATGGGATGCCTGTCTGCCATGGTAAGTAATATAGGGGCCTGTATAAGTAGACTAGGGTTTTGGGGTAGATTATACTATAATTCTAATCAGGTACTTCAAAATAGTATAGGTAATTATTCAGGCCCCTATATTAAGTATATGGTCCCCGTGGTTCTCGTAGAGCTACGAAGATTCCATCCGCAAGTGCAGAAGATGCAGGCATTGCGCTTACGAGCGAGTAAACTCGAAACAACTAAACCTGAGGTTCTACACATCTTTGCTGGACAAGGGTCAAGCTCTCGTCTCAAGCGTGGTGGAAGCAATCATCGCAGAGGTCTCCTCGTGGCTGAGATGCAGAGATGTTATTTACAAGTTAGAAGTATGATGCCATGCTACAGGTGTGACATGAAAACTATATAAACTATTAAGAGATCCGGCAGTCATGGGCTGCATTCATTTGCCAAGGTGTGTGGTGAGCTTGATCATCATATTCTTGTACGTGATCTTCGGGCTGTTATATCCCTTGCCGATCGGTGGCAAGGTGAGCAATCTAGCTGCTTGCCGGCACAGTCTGTCTAGTCTGTTGTGCTGCGCTCATGTCACCAAACTGTCAGCTGTGATAGTCAAGCGATGGAGTCATGAAGAAATATGGCAGGAGGGCACCATAATGCAATAGACAAATCTCCTCTCCGTATAACAATATACAGCAAATGGGATGCTGTGAGCACCGTCGCGATGCATCAGCGAGCAACGACTTGCAAAGCAAGCAATAGCCATTCCAACAAATATCCTTCATCATCATCATCATCATCATAGTCCAACATCAGAACAGTTTCGCAACAGTCAGTTTCGACCAGGTTCGCAGCTATCTGTGGAAGAAGACGGTTGTCTCCCTCCTTTATGGCTTCTCTGCGCGGCGCTCGCAGCAAGTCGGGCCAGATGTCTCCGTCGCGAGCAGCAGATTCTCAAAGGTGTCCGCGCTCTTTCTGCTCTTGAACAATGACCTCGCCGCAGCCTCGATACCTAGGGGTCAGGGCTGCCTGTTGTTGCGACAGGGAGAGAGAGTTCCACGCAGGGATGTTGAAGCAGGCAGTTTTTTTCGGCATTGTCTCCTTCTTCTTCAACTACGTTCCGGAAGTGGGTCTGCGCCTAAGGAGAGCAGATCATGCGATGCCAAGTTGGCCCCACTGGAACGCATAGTCCTACACTACGCTAACCGCGTGAATCGTGTGCTACGGCTTGCATTGTTTGGGTAATATGTGCTGTTTCAAGTTCGCAGAAAGGTACAATCATTGCCATCTTCATTCCGATGCCAGTGATTCTCTTGGATGGTCGACTCCTTTCCCCAGCGGCCACGTCGCTCTCTTGGTGTGGCATTTGTGTGCTTTGTATGGTTGTCATGTTGAGTTTGACATTGTGCACGAGGCTCGCGAAGGCTACGGTTGGACAGCTGGTGCAGGACTCAAGAGGAATCACATGCAAGACCTGAGCTAAAGATCTGGATCACCACTCACGCGACAGCCTGCGTCTTGCTTAGTGCAGGCAGTTTCCTGTTGGTTCCAAGCAAAGTTCTTGTGAGCTGAGGTTCTCAAAATTGTCTTTAACAACATCATTGAGACGAGCTTGATTCAGAACGACCAAGAGATGAGGATACATCCTGTGGCATCCCCTGTTGTGAAGAGCAGCGCCGGTAAGCGCCCCGGACTCAACATGTCAGCTCGAGTTCAGGTCTGGGTCCTCCTGACCATCAACTACTTCGGCTTCATTTGGGGGCCGGCAGGCGGCGTGCTGGCATTGGAGATCTGCCTATACGATTTGTAGGGTTTGTATAAGGAATACCAAAGAGCAGGGCTCCCGCCGAGAAGCTGAGGAATGATGATTGGGGTGCCCATCCTCTCGGTCATGACGCCTGCCTCGGAGGTAAAAGTTTCGCGAAGCCAAGCCACAAGTTCGCGGTTTTTTTGGTTTAGGGTTTCGAACCCCTCCTCCCGTCCCCTCTTTATATCTCGCTTCCCACAGACGACACGTGACGGTTGCAGTCCGTCAGATTCCGAGGAAAGGAGCCGCGGTCTCTGCAGTAGAGCTTACAGAGTCGAAGGACGACGTCGCCAAGGCCAGGCCTCTTCAGAGTTTAGGGTTTAGGGTTTAGGGTTTTAGGGTTTTAGGGTTTAGGGTTTAGGGCAGGCTTCCTTTGCAAAGATCTGAAATACTATAGAAGGCTTAAATAGTTACCAATCCTATTTTCGGGGTTCCTTAATATGTTCATAGTATAATTGGCCCCAAAACCCTGCTCTCATTATTAAGGCCCCCTAGATTACTGGATTTAGGGTCTGGGCCAAAAATGAACTGGCACGTCCTGGGTACCTACAGACCTGCTCACTTATCCTGATTAACGAGGCCAGTTTGCCACAACCGCAAACCCCCACGACGCATACTGATAGCATGTGAGCACATACATAAAGACGAATAGAACTACGCAGTGACTCTAGCGGCTTTCCACCGCCGTCATCGTCGGCATTGACCCACTGCTGTTTTCCAGCATCGTTGATCATTGTAGGTATTGCTGGTGCTGGTGCCTGTGCTGGTGCTGGTGCTGGTGCTGGTGCTGGTGCTGGTGGCGGTTGTACTTGTAGTAGTAGAAGCAGCAGCAGTGGCAGTAGCAGTAGCAATAGGAGTTTAGCAGTGGCAGGAGCAGTCGCAGTAGGGGTAGGGTAGTAGGAGCAGCATTAGCAGCAGCAACAGCAGCAGCAGCAGCCGCAGCAGCAGCCGCAGCAGTTGCAACAGCACCAGTAGCAGTGGCTGCAGCCGTGGCAGCAGTCGTCGTAGTCGTATAAACGTAGAAGTAGAAGTAGTGACAGTTGTAGCAGTGTCAGCAGGTGGTAGTACCGATAGTACCTGTAGCACTAATCCTTCCCCTAATATGAAACGGGGGCCCTCCAAATACCAGCTCGGAAAGTGTTTTTTATTAGGGGATATGTTTGTCTCGGCTATCACTTTTGAGGGGTCTTGCTCTTGCTCCGGCTCCGGCTGCTGGCTCGTGCTCTCGCGCGTTCTCGCTCCTGCTCTTCCTGATGTTCTTGTTTTTGCTCTTGCTCTTGCTTTTAGTCTTGCTCCTGCTCTTTGTGTTGCTCCTGCTCTTGCTGTTGCTCTTGCTTTTGCTCTTGCTCTTGCTTTTGCTCCTGCTCTTGCTTTTGCTCTTGCTCCTGCTTTTGCTCCTGCTCTTGCTGTTGCTCCTGCTCATGTTCTTGCGCCTGATTTTGCTGTTGCTGCTACTCTTGGTCCTGCTCTTGCTCCGGACCCCCCTAATGCAAATTAGGCTTTAAATGGCAGGGATGATATCGGGAGGATTAGCCCTAAAGCGTTTTTATTATCAGCGGGGCGGGGGTTAATAAATGAGGGAAGGGATAATCCTTTTAGCAGTACAAGCACCGGATGAGGAGGACGAGGAGGAGGAGAGGGGGGGAAGAGGAGCAGGCAGAGTGTCCCGCGGTGAGTTTTGGGAAGGCATGGGCAGAGTCCTTCCTGGCCTGCCTGGAGGGACGACCGCAGAAAGCCCGCTGCTGACTTAGTTTTCTGCTTGTCTTGACAGAACTGCAACGCAGCAGCAACGCGTGTCATACAGGCCATATCGTCAGGAGTGAAGTGTCCCGCTTTATGCATCCTGCGCAGTACTGGAACTCGAAGAAGGCTGTGTGGATGCTTGTGGCACTACCGATGCCAGAAGTAAGTTTTCGTCATCAGACCCGGAAGGCTGTGCCCAACTTTTGTAGGTGTACACAACGAATGGCTCACATCCGGTTCAGCTAAGTCTGGTGAAGGCCGTGCAGATGCCCGAGACCACCGTCACCCAAGACCCTTCTAAGTCGCTTAAGGCGAGAAGTTCGAGATGGTTTTTGATGCGGCAGTGGAGTGGCAGTCCTCGCTTCAGGACGGGTTTAGAAGGGATGCCGGAGGCCTAAGGCTTCCAAAAAGTCAGGGCCGCACGGCTAAAGTTAAAGCCGACAGAATTTCTGGACGGCACGGAAACCTTCAAAAGGATGGCTTCCGCGTTCCGGGTAGCAGGGCCCCTTCAGGAAGAATCGTGGGTGCGGCACATGTTGTTTTCAGACCTCCCGGGGTCCCTCTGAGGTGCTCAGTCCCGAAGCTTTGTCCGATGGCAAGAGGTTATGGACCTTCAGCTGTAGCTTCAGATCCCCATTGTCATTGACAGCCCTTTTATCAGATTTGTCTGTCTCTCTGTCTCTCGCTCTCTCTCTCTCTCTCTCTCTCTGTCTCTCTCTCTCTCTCTCTCGCTGCTGGCTGTGTCTCTGTGTGTGTGTGCACGTGTGCAAACGACAGACACGCAATGACAACGTCTTATGTGTCGGTCACACTGCAGTTTGCAAGGCTATCTCTGCGAATGCCTAGATGTTCGCATGCGCAGGATGTCGAAGGCAGTTAAGGCGATTATTCGAGCGTGGATGTTATGACTGCATGCTGCATGTATGTATGCATAAAATAATGTACGTCTGTATGCGAGCATGCATGGATGTGCGTAGTCATACCCGTACCTCCGTTCAGTATATTGTATGTATGGATGCAGGCAGTAGGCAGCTAGGTAGGTAGGTAAGTAAGTAGGTAGGTCGGTAGGTCGGTAGGTCGGTAGGTAGGTCGGTAGGTCGGTCGGTCGGTAGGTAGGTAGGCAGGCAGGCAGGCAGGTAGGTAGGTAGGTAGGTAGGTAGGTAAGTAGGTAGGTAAGTAGGCAGGTAGTTAGTTAAGTAGGTCGTATGTATGTATGTATGTATGTATGTATGTATGTATGCATGCAGGTATGTAGGTATGTAGGTATGTAGGTACGTAGGTAGGTAGGTAGGTAGGTAGGGAGGGAGGGAGGTAGGTAGGTAGGTAGGTAGGTATGTATGTATGTATATGTACATGTGTATATATATATATATACACATGTACAGATATATATATATATATATATATATATGCTGTACATGTAAGCATTTAGATGTATGTGTGCTTAGTTCGTGGCTCCCTGCGACAATAGGCGAACCTAGAACACCCCTATAGATAATAGTTGTATCCTGAAGCTCCCCCTCAACCCACCCGCCCGCCCACCCACCCACCCACCCACCCCCGCCAACGAGGTGCCTTTTTGCTGGTAGTGTTTGTTCGGATATGCTTGGATCGCGATGTCTTTCGCATCGGGCAGGCACCAGAAGCCGTCGGCCCTCCAAAAGATTGCTCGACGACTGCGTAAGCAGACACAAACGGCTCAGTGAAAGATCAGGGTTTCAGGCTACCTTCTAAGTAAGGTTTCTTGGGTATTCAGGGGTCTAGAATTAGCTGCTTTTGGAAAGGCAGTCGTCCCCTGAACGAGCCATCTGAAGCTGCTTGCCAACAGTGTTTGAAGCGCCTGTATCCATGCAGAGAGGTACTTGGCATGTAGTTTTAGTTTTTCATGGCCGACCATCATGGGGCTTCTTGACATTTGGGAGGTCCTCTTTAATGAAGACCTTGCATTTATAGTTCAACATTAGGGTTGTGTATCTTGCTTGAGCATGTCGCTCCATGCGACAAGGCAGCATTCACTCCCTTGCGTCGTCACACACATAGTATGAGCACATATATGTATAGCAAAACGTAGGTATATAATATCTAGTAACAGATATGCCGAGGCTCCCGATGTCTGCCCTCTCTGGCGGTCAAGAAGATGTGCTGGGAAGGCCATATCATCAGGTCTTCGGTGGCACGGTGGGTTGGATGGCATTTAATGTGTCAATTCGCGGATGTTTAGGATGCGTCAGGATGGCTGTAATGCCTAAACCCTAAACCCTACATGTTTCTTCCTTGACTGTTGAGCAGGTTGGCCGGGCCAATTCACAGACAAATTGCAGGGGCCCAAAATTATCCGGCTAAGGGGCGTCGCCACACCTTTAGGGTTTAGCGTTTAGGGGTTTAGGTGTTTCAGAGCCGAAGGCTTGACCAAGCAGTAGACACTCTCGCATCCTCCACTTGTCTCCAAGTCCGGTGACGACGCGGACGTCGAGAAGGCGATGCTTCTGGTCGGGGACTTGGTAGCCACTCAACCCCAACCCGAATTCCCAGAGCCTAAAACCTATCGGTCCAATGCCTCCGCCAACATGGCATTCTGACATCCGCCTTGCTGTAGGGACGAAAAGGGGTGTCAAAAAAACCTGAAGACTTAAACCCTTAATCCGGGGTCTTAAAACCGAAACTTCCAAGGCCGCGGTGACCGGCCTGCGAGAGGCTGCTGAGGCCCTGCCTCCGGGGGGCAAGAGAGATTCATTCTCATTCTCATTCTCATTCTCATTCTCTCTCTCTCTCTCTCTCTCTCTCGCTCTCTCTCTCTCTCTCTCTCGCTCTCTCTTTGTTTCTCTTGTGTGTCTGCATGCACATGTTGGTATGCGTGTTTATAGATATATCTCTCTCTCTTTGTTTCTCTTGTGTGTCTGCATGCACATGTTGGTATGCGTGTTTATAGATAGATATATATATATACACATGTTTGTATGTGTTTATTTATGTTTCATTTGTCTATTTACATGTTTGTGTATTTTCTATATATACATATACACACCTTTGTTCATGCTTTCTTGTATATATGTGTATATGTATCTTTGAACTTATTATGTGTCGATGTGTTTGATGTTGACATATGCACACGTGTGTGCATATAGAGTCCGTATGTGTATGTATATATAAATACATAAACACATCTATCACACGCGTCGTCTTAGGCTCAAGAGCCTATGCATGCTCCCGATATACAGGATGCAGCCATGTACCCGTCCCACTCTCCATATTAATTTAGATCTACATCCATATTCAGCCTTGAGTTCCAGCGTAAGTCGACCAGCCTTAAGCCCCTTCAACCGGAAATTCAATCAACTGAAGCCCGAAGCACCCAAAACCCGAACCCCAGAGTGTACAACCCCGAACCCTTAAGCTCCATCCCCTGCAACTCACACCCCCTTCAACCCCCAAACCCGTAAACCCCCTTAAACCCCCCTTACACCCCCCATTCAACCCCCAAACCCGAAAACCCCTTAAACCCCCTTACACCCCCCTTAAACCCCCAAACCCGAAAACCCCTTAAACCCCCCTTACAACCCCCCTTAAACGCGCAAACCCGAAAACCCCTTAAACCCCCTTACACCCCCCTTAAACCCCCAAAGCCCAAAAACCCTAAACCCCCTTAAACCCCCTTAAAGCGCGAGAGCAGGCAGCCGTGCGCCGGGCCGAGGCTGCCGAGGTCAGGTTCCCGAGAAGTGCCCTCTAAGAACACCTATGGGTTTAGGGTTTAGGGTT